ACATACCCTCCCCGCACTCCCCCCGCCGTGCACAAATTTCATGCACCAGGCCTCTAGTCCTACATAATAAAAGCCTAATATACTAAGTGCCTGGTCATCTGTTCAAGCAATCTAAGTGTAATATGCTAATGATATGCTAAGGCTGCTCAAATGCTCGCTATGATGTGCACTGACCACCAGGGGCCAGATGCTCCAAGTGGTAGGTTAGCTTGCTGCTGGGGGCCGGCCGATTGGAACTGAATGAGATGGGCTGGACATGCCCTGGAGCCCTACGTCCCACACTGTGCACTGGTGGAGTCTTTCAGCCTGGCCTGCACCCCATCAGGGGATGTTGGCGAGCTGGTTTCGGCCCAATAGTGGAACAACTGGTTGCTATGATGAGCAATTACCACCAGGGGGCAGACACTCAATGCAGGAGCTGCTCCCTGGTGGTCAGTGTGCTCCCACAGGGGGAGTGCCGCTCAGCCAGAAGCCAAGCTCATGGCTGGCGAGTGCAGCAGCGCTGGCGGGAGCCTCTCCTGCCTTCGTGCGGCAGTGCTAAGGATGTCTGACTCCCGGCTTAGGCCGGCTCCCTGCAAGGAGCAAGCCTAAGCCATCAGTTGGACATCCCCTGAGTGGCTCCCGGACTGAGACAGGGCACAGGGTAGGCTGAGGGACCACCCTCCACCCCTGCCAAGTGCATGAATTTCATGCACTGAGCCTCTAGTATATTATAGTATTCTTCACTCATCTGTGAGAGATATACCTCAAGACCACCAGTAGAACCCTATGTATTATTATGCTTTTCCCCATACATATAACTATGATAAAGTTTAACTTATAAATTAGGCAAAGTTCCTCAGATAACACCTGGAACTCTACAGACATCCCTGCCAGGGACCTGCTACCTCAGCTGGGTCCCACGGTCAACAAATATCCAGCCACCCTGGGCGCAGGCTCCTGTGAGTTCTGAAGCGTGCTCCCCCCTGACCAGCCCAACGCCTTAGCCTGGGGCACTGCAACCACGCAAGACACGTGAGCAGCCCACTCTAGTCCAAGGAGCAGCAGCCCCGTGAGCAGCCTGCCCCAGGCCTAAGAGCAGAAGCCTCACGTGGCCTCCCCAGTCCAAGGAGCAGCAGCTGTCAGCTGTGTGAGCAGCCAGCTCCTTCATCAGAGGAGCAGCAATCATGTGAGCAGCTTGCCCCACCTGGGGACCAGCAGCCACACGAGCAGCCTGCCCACGATTGAGGAGCTGCAGCCCCACCCAACCGCCCCCATCCAAGGAGCAGCAGCAGTGTGAGCAACCCATACCCATACAAGGAATAGCATTGCTGCAAGCAGCCCGCTCCCATTCAAGGAGCAGTAGCCACCTGAGCAGCCTCCCCCAGTCTGAGGAGCAGCAGCCACACGAGCAGACCACCCACATCTGAGGAGCTGCAGCCCTGTGCAGTCCACACTGGTCCAAGAAGCAGCAGACACATGCAGCCTGCACCTGTCTGAAGAGCAGCAGCTGGGCAAGCAGCCTGCCCCCATCCGAGGAGCAGCAGACACATGTGCAGCTCGCTCCCGCCTGAAGAGAAGCAGCTATGCAAGCAGCCCATCCCCCGTCCGAGAAGCAGCAGCCACGCGAGCAGAGCCCCCGTATGAGGTGCAGCAGCTGCACATGCAACTCAATCCAGCCCAAGGAGCAGCAGCCGCCCAAGCAGCTCGCCCCCGCCCGAGGTCATCTAAGGAGCGGCAGCCCTGCGCAGCCCACACTGGTCCAAGGAGCAGCAGCCAAAAACAGTCTGCACCATGCCCAACGAGCAGCAGCTGGGTAAGCATCCCACCCTCATCTGAGGAACAGCAGCCACACGTGCAGCTCACCCCAACCCGAGGAGTAGCAACCACGCAAGCAGCCCGCCCCCCATTTGAGGAGCAACAGCTGCGTGAGCAGCCTGCATCCATAGGAGGAGCAGTAGCCCTGTAAGCAACCTGCCCCTGTCCAAAGAGCGGCAGCCTCACGAGCAGCCTGCCCCATCTGAGGAACAGCAGCAGCGTGCAGCCAGCCCCGATCCAAGGAGCAGCAGCCATGCAAGCAGTCTGAGCCCATCTGAGGAGAAGCCACGTGAACAGCCTGCTCTTGTCCAAGGAGCAGAAGCCGCGCTCACCCCACCCGACCTGAAGAGCAGCAGCCTAGTGATCAGCCCACCCCTGTCCAAGGAACAACAGCTGTGTGAGCAGCCTCACCTACCAACCAGAGGAGACACCACTGCTGTGAACAGCACCCAGCAGAGGAGCCGCTACCAACTGAGAAGCAACCACTACTGTGACCACTTGAGCAACTGCAGTCCGAGGAACCAATGACAACCAAGGAGCTGCCCCTGCACAATGCGACATGTAGATCAGTGCGTGAGACCAAAAATGGGTAGACAAAGAAACACCAAAAGGAAAAGAAAACGAGAAATCGACAGAGAAGCGGCAAAGTGAAACAGAGGCATGCAATATGTCAGAAAAAGAATTCAGAATAAGGGTCCTAGAGTGCATAAACCGGTTGGAGGAAAAAATCAACAACGTATGTAAGAATCAAGAAGAAATGGATGAAAAAAATCAATAACATATGTAAGAATCAAGAAGAAATAACGAGTGATATAGCTGCAATAAAAAACACCATGGAAAGTTTCAAAAGTAGGCTAGGAGAAGCAGAGGACCAAATTAACGAATTAGAAGACAGGGAAGCAAAACACACCCAAACTGAACTGCAATTGGAGAAAAAAATTAAAAGACAGGAGAAGAGCCTAAGGGAGCTACGGGACAACATGAAATGACGCAACATATGAATAATAGGGGTGCCAGAACAACAGGAAGAGGAACAAGGATTGGAAAACCCATCTGAAGAAATAATGTCAGAAAACTTCCCTGAGGTGGGGAAGAAAAAGTCACACAAGCATAGAGAGTTCCAAGCAAGATGAACCCGAAAAGACCCACACCAAGACACATCATAATTACCATGGCAAATATTCAGGACAAAGAGAGAATCTTAAAGGCTGCAACAGAGAGATGGAAAGTTACATACAAGGGATCTCCC